GAGAAAACCTGTAATTTCTTGTATATTGTCCTGTTTTCGTCGTATTCAGAATAATCGTGAGCTGCGCAATGACTTATCAAAATCCTAACCGTCACCAAGAAACAAAGAAGTAATACTCAAGGGATTGACAAATGAACAATGAAGACACTTGTTTATAAAGTGCTAGATTCTTTAAGGCTGTCTTTTTTTCGTGTCATGACAAAGAATGCTGATTATTTGAAAGAAAGAAATGATGCTCTAGGGAACGACGTGACTAAAACACAGAACGCTTGCGGCCCTTTTTCTTTAAAACAGAAGTAAACCTTTCACGGGTTTCAACTGTATTCACCCAAATATGACGTCATGTATTTGATCACTTTGGGCGTTGTGTAGTTAAGTCACGTGTTATTCCCTCGGGCAAATGTTTTATTCTACGCTTGAAAACACTTATTCAAACTGAAATAAAGGTAAAAATATTATGCGCATAATTTACTAGTATCAAACGGTTGCTCTGTTCTGTTTTGCTTCAAGAAGTAAAGCTCCTCTTTTACGCGCTGTAACTTTTAGCTAAACTTGTTCAACGTCTTTGCGAGACAAGATTCACGGGGGTTTAACACGGCACAATTTCGTCCTGAAACTTGTTCGCAAAATTTCGTTCGCCGGCACGAGTATATAAGAACCAAAAGTTGTTCACAAGTTTTAGCTTTAAGTTTCATTGTGTCAAAGGAACTTAAAATCAAAACAGGCGCGCGAAGTGGCGAAGACGCATGTGTTAATAAAGTTGATAACTTCTTAAAGTGCAATAAAAAAATGTTGGCGCTTCGTGCGTCTTGAAATCTTTGTTTGTTCCACTTTGTCTTTGGGTGTATTTTATTCTTGGTCGGGTGTCTAGATATTGAAGGGTATTTTTCAGCTGTTGTTTAATTTTTTTATTTTTATGGGTCAGACAATAAATATCACACAATAAAGGTTCGATGTTCTTTTATTATCAACTGCTTGATGTAATGAATTAAACACAAAGAGAATTACTTCAAACCCTCGAAAAAATTTTTGTCACAAAAAATTAAAAAATCACACCCAAAAAAACACAAAATTGATGGGCACGTGACTGGTCACGTGACTAAATTAACATATTCGTGTTTTTGCCCTAAAACAAGCGTTTTTTCGGATTTTTATCCTCCATTAAGTGCTAAAATAGCCTCTTCTAGTGGTTTTATACCTTTTGGGCTAAAAATATTGCTAGAAAATATCCGAATTTTTGATAAAAAATATCGTTTTTTGTGGGATCCCTGTGTAAAATGCTAGTATCCAGTCTCTTGGTGTGACTTGTGCCATTCGAATCTTGCTTCCTTCGCGGTTCGACGTGTGTCAATCTGTGGAAATATAAAGAAGAGTTTTTACTAGGACAAAAAAAGATTATCAGCTCGTGCTCCATTTAACAGAGAAATAAGGACACGAGAACTATGAAAGGTAAGAATTATTCTGTTTTTCTGCGTTATTTTTGTTTTTCCGTACTTTTAACCGGTTTAAAGACTTGGAAAGTTTGATTGACCGCCATGACACGTGTTGGCTTTAACTCTGAGAATTTCACTTTTTCTGGAAAAATACGATTACACTTTCCACAAATATGTAATTTTATGAAGTTTTCAAACAGTGTGTAAGCTTAATTTGAGTATAATTTAATTTTTTCCCATATTTTGAAATTTTGGTAATCATCGTTACACGAAACTTGGTTCGTGAAACTTTAAAAACTCCGCTCCCTCGTTAGAACCATGAAAATCCTAAATATTAATGTCCTAATTACTTATCTTTCTTTGCATTGCAGTATTAAAAGTATAACTTACACGTGAAACTCTCCATAAGACGGTCCAGTGATCTGTAACAAGATGGCTGCCGATACCTGACATCTGAACCTCATTACCATACTGCATCTTGACTGTAACCAATAAGTAATGGAATACTTCAGTATCAATCTCGTAATATTGGATTTACTAAACTAAAACAAGAAGCAAAAACACTCGATAACAATGTTGTCTATGAGTAATGAACTGCAAATCAACTTGATGACCCTGTGACCTTCATAACAATAAACCTTGTTGCTGTATGGGTGTTGACCTGAATATCAACTTGATGACCCTGTGACCTTCATAACAATATGGACTCACCTTGTTGCTGTATGGGTGTTGACCTGAATATCAACCTGATGACCCTGTGACCTTCATAACAATATGGACTTGCATTGTTGCCGCACAAGTCTAATCATGTTCCCAAGCAGCAGTTTATTACTGATTATCAGGTATGTAGTTTACTCTGCAGAACAAATTCATACATAGTTATACAATGCTTTGTTGTGGCACTCTATACAGTATGATTTTATTTCTCAAAACCAAAATGGTGGACCTCAGACAACCACTGTACAACATCGTCTACTGCTGACCAGTATAGTGACAGGATTGAAGAATTAACATGGATTATTCAGTATACACCACTTGTGTCACACAGCAACATTCTTAAAATCATCAACAAACAAATAAGAAAAAACTTGAACACTATATTAAAAGAGAAAAAGTAATATTGAACTGATATTTCAAATGTTAGTCTTGTGAATGTGAAGTACTCTTATCAAAGACTAATTTATGAAATGTCAGTACAGTTACAAACTTATTCTCGTTGTATTCAACACACCAACACAGTCCCAACTAGTAACCACTAGTCATTGTTATTCACTTGTTGTATTCAACACACCAACACAGTCCTAACTAGTCACCACTAGTCATTCTTATTCACTTGTAGTATTCAACACACCAATGCAGTCCCAACTAGTAACCACTAG